TATGTGTATGTTAGACCAGTTTAAGTGTTTATGTGTATGTTAGACCAGTTTAAGTGTTTATGTAGTTAATAAAGTCTTACTTGTATCACACTTGACTATGGAACGATATTCCGGACAATTTTCAAAAGGACTTGCAAATTGTATTTTCAATTGCGTTTTCCATATGTGGACGCATAAATTGTGACATAATCCAAATGCAATTGCAAATCCTGCATTACCGTTTGCATTTTCGCTTTCGCGAACGCACAGTGACTGCCAAATTTCAAATGAAAAAGCAAGGTCCATTTGCAACTGTATTTCCCATGTCTTAGGAGTTATGAGCCTGTCATATTTAAATAGCAATATTAATTACCAGTCTGCATTTTCACTCTCGCTGCGTCGCGCATGTAACCTGCCAAAACTCAAATGGAATTGCAATTCTTTTTGCATTTGAATTTTCGATGTCTACATGGAAAGCTGCCAATCATCGTCAGGGCAGGACTATACTATGGGGCGTGTTTGTATTGGGAGGTGACGTCACTCACAGACGACCGTGCCGAATGCTCTGATCAATGGAGGTAATCGGTAAAGGCTCCGCTAAAGGCAGCAACCAATCAGTTTCGTACCTGTGTGAACGAACAGACAGTGCAACCTTCTTGGCACAATACATAATTATGTCTTTTTTACCCCAAATGTAGCGATTATCCCCTGCTAACAGCGGGAGCCACAACGGTACGCACAATAGGTCAATATTCACTATTAACCAAACGCTTTCACCTGTCTCAGACATGCGCGACGCAGCGAGAGTGAAAAAGCAGACGTGGTAATTAATATTGCTATTTAAATATGACAGGCTCGTAACTCCTAAGACATGGGAAATACAGTTGCAAATGGACTTTTCTTTTTCATTTGAAATTTGGCAGTCACTGTGCGTTTGCGAAAGCAAAAATGCAAACGGTAATGCAGGATTTGCAATTGCAAATTTATGCGTCCACATATGGAAAACGCAATTGAAAATAAAATTTGCAATTCCTTTTGAAAATTGTCCAGAATATCGTTCCATAGATCTGCGTGCGCCGCGCCTAATTGAGCACACCTAGTGCTGCAGGCTTATTGGCTCACTGACGTTGATGAGATTAACCCCTTAGGTATCGAAATTTGGTACCGAACGACGAGACGTTTTTCGATATTCGATGGTATTGAGGCAATTCTGTCGGTGCCTAAAAAGTATCGAACTCGATACCCAGCCCTAGTGGCGACAGTTTGTGGTTCCTGTCCTTTGTTTCTCTTTGTTTACATGAAACGACAAAAACAAAAACAATTCATAAATGTATGCACAAAGACCCATAATTGTTCATTTAATTCTTACTGAATGAGTAGAGTTGGACTTATGGAACTAAAATAAAAAATGAAATAAATACAGATTTTTCTTAACACAAATATTTTGTTTGTATGCAGTATGTAATTGTAAATCTTTTTAACTATGGCAATAAAGCGGAGTATCTTCAGAATACATTGTGACTACACAATTAATTACAACCTAAATAAAAGTGCACTACTACTAGACAAACATACGGCATGTTATTTTCATTAAAACTGTTTTAGCACTGTAAAGCAAACGTAAAAGTGGAAAAATATAGTGTGCTGGGACTGCACGCCCCCACATATCTACTTCACTATGTGGAAATATTTGCATAATGCGCCCAAATGTGCACGCAAAGAAAGAAGGCGTGGTTTCAGTAACCGCAGTTAGTGTTGAAGCAGCCATGTCAGGGAGACGCTTTGTGTCTCTCCACATGTATTTATTGTTATTTTATATTGTGCTCTTTTCTACTGTACTTTAAACAGTTAATCATTTTACAGATTTTCATATCAATTTCGTGATCAGATGAAGTAAATCACTCTCGCACAGCGAAAATGTGTGGCTCTTAAAAGAACCTTTGGTTTGAAGGGAAACTTCACTCAGTTTACTTGGTCTTGGCTGGTTTCTCGGTTTTCTTGGGCAGCAGCACGGCCTGAATGTTGGGCAGCACGCCGCCCTGAGCGATGGTCACGCCACCCAGAAGCTCGTTGCGCACCACCAGCTGCAGGTGACGCGGAATGATACGGGTCTTCTTGTTGTCCCGAGCGGCGTTTCCAGCCAACTCCAGAATCTCAGCAGTGAGGTACTCGAGCACAGCGGCCAAATAAACCGGATCACCGGCACCGACACGCTCGGCATAGTTGCCTTTGTGGAGAAGCCTGTGAACACGGCCGACGGGGAACTGCAGTCCAGCTCTGGAGGAGTGAGTCTTGGCTTTAGCACGAGCCTTTCCGCCGGTTTTGCCTCTTCCACTCATTGTAACATCAACTGTTACAACACAGGTCAAAAAATAAATGACAATTCAGCAAGCTGCAACGTTACTTTTAAAAGAAACCGTGCCAGTCTCCTATTGGCTGGAATCTGAATACGTTCCAAGCCAATCAGTGAACTTCCCTCCAAACTTCAAACCCAACCCCCTTCCTCAAGCACGTGTCACATAGTAGTAGTGTAATTGTAGACAATGCCTCTTAGATTATTTTGTTTTATTTAATTTATTATTTTCTTACATTATTGTTTCTCAAATTAGTTTTTTTAGATTTAATTTATTTATATGAACATTTTTATGACTTTTTTTAATGCAGATCCCTTTAGATTACAGTTATACTGTGCTATATGAACTTGCCTTGCATATTCATTATTTTATTGTTTGATTTATTAATAATAATAATAATATACAATAATGTACTCATGGCAACATGATACTTTCATTGGACAGATGACTGATGATATAATGTCTTTATCACAAATTAGTTGGTGGTTTTTAAAAGATAGTTTTAAAATAAAAAAAATAAAACAGAAGGGAAAAAATGACTTTATTTCTTCTTGGCTGCTGTCTTTTTAGGTTTGGCTGCTTTGGGTTTTGTCGTCTTGGGTTTGGCTGCCTTGGTCTTTTTAGGGCTCTTGGCTGCTTTCTTTGGAGTCGCTGGTTTCTTTGCTTTTTTGTGGCTCTTCGTTGCCTTTGGGTTTCTTGGCCTTCTTTGGGGATTTCTTAGCGGCGGGCTTCTTCACTGCTATGGTTTTGGGCTTCTTAGCAGCGGCAGGTTTCTTGGCTGCGGGCTTCTTGGCTTTAGGAGCGGCTTTCTTGGCTGGTTTTGTCTTGGTCTCGGCTTGTTTCTTGTTGAGCTTGAACGAGCCGGAGGCACAACACAAGTGCTTGTGTTTTCTTCTCTTATATTTGGAATAAAACTGAAGTGGTAAAATGTTTGGACAATGGCTTAAATAAAAGAAACATCACTGAGGGATTTGTGGAGTTTTTCATTCATAAGTTTTTTTTGGGCAGCTTGAAGCACATGACACATCTGTCGGTGTAACTGCTCTTCATCTCCAATCACTGCTGCATGTCTTATGTTTCCCTGCTTTATAATGGCAAGAAGTTCAAACATCATGAATTGATTTTTGCTCAGAGATGGTGAGTTTGTGGACACATCTACTTGTTTGACTGTCTTTGCTATTTTCTGCAGATTTCTATGTATTCCGAAGCTATTGCTGTCTCATCGTATATGCGGCCTTACATGCTCGAGGCGTGTATTCACAGTTCTGCTGTTTTTCTTTTTTCTTCTTTTTTTTTAACACTTCAACTCAAAGGCCTTAACTTACAGTAAGGTTTTGTTACTTAAATGCTGCTTATAGCAGAGATAAGCCTAATTCATGGTACACACAGGTTTAGTTGTATTAAGACATGAATGGTTATGGAAGTTATTAGGTTATTAAATACATTTTAATAATTTATAATTTGATTCATAAATATTTGACATAATTAACAGACCAATAAAGCACCATAATGCCATCTATGTTTCAAACCAAATTTTGCTATAAGTTTGACTGCATCATATAATAATTGCTGTTAATAGTGTTCATCGTCTGTTTGTGTCACGGTGCGTGCGGGGAGATGAAGAGAGGACTCAATTGCAGGAGAAATGGTTATTTATTTTGATAATAAAAATGAAACAAAAACAAACAAACCACCCCGAAGGGGAAAAACAGACAGGCAGGCCTAAAGCTGCACACATGCAGACATGTGACGTAACCGGTGTTGCGGCTTAACCGTCAGTGTTAGGCAAGCCTAATACATATATGTAGTATATATTATATATGTAATATATTTGGGATGTAACAGTATTATCAATATCGTGGTATCACGATAGCAAAACTGTCTCTACATCATCGTGGTCACATGACGATATAAAACGATAGGTCTTCCGGGCAAAAAGTGTAGTTTCTTAAATATATTTAAACTTCTTATTCTAACATAAAAGGTCTTTAAAGTTGTGTTTGGGCCATTATGCTTTGGCACAGTATCTGTCAAACTAAATAAAATCAAAAGCACACTATGGCTTAATTCCTTCATCAAGTCTGTTTTCGCTGTGCATTTTAAAGCGAAGCGCACACTTCATTTAATCAATCAGCTCGTGATCCTGTGTTTTCCATGCCTCAGATCGGCTCAGCTCGCAGTGAATGAAGTGCACTCGTTATTGCATGTGCTGTGAGTTTAGCGTGCGTTTGGGAACGCAACAGCCACCAGTTATGCTCTTTCGCGGCAGACGATTACAGCATTTCACTAGATTTGTATTGAGACGCGTTTTTGTTAGCCTGTTTTCACTGAAGCTGGGGTTTTCCTTCAAAATAAAAGCTCTACTACCGTTTCCATCAAAATAAAAGCTTAAAAGTGCAGTAAGAATTGCTGACAGCTAGCAGTTTAAATGGTTAATGTTACTGCAGTCCAAATTCAAAATATCTCTTTCAAGTGTAGAAATTAGGAAAGAAGTATTGTAATTTCCCTACTGTAATGTAAAGCAAAAATAATATACCTATAAAATATTCATTTTCATTTATTTTATAGTGCAATTGTTTTACAATATATGGCTATTACTGTCATTGTTGTTATTATTATATTCTATTCTAATTTGTTTGGCTTCCTAAAACACCAGTGTGAATGTAATGGTATGGTGAAAAGCGCTATACAAATAAACTTGAATTGAATTTAATTGAATCTATGTATATTTTGTTATTGCCTGCTGACTGGTAAACCAGATTGTAAATGCAATATTCCTATTATAGGCTAATATAGCAGTATAGACTGTTTGCATTAACCCTAAAAAGGGCAAAACCATAAAGAGACATCAGAAAATTAATTTATTGCTATTTTCCATCTGATTGGGACTCAAATAATACAATTTCATGATTTTTTTTTTTTCAAAACATGACTCGTATTTTTGATTTTAATGTTTGTATCCCGCAGGACATGTATAACCCTTTAAATTCACTGAAAACAACACTTGTTTATCAATGATTGTTACAACATGGTTGTAATTCCTGAATGCTTTGGAATACAGACCTAAGGTTGGCCTCTTTTTAAAGAAAACACATAGAAGATTATTGCTGAAGTGTAAGCATTTAAAAAAAGAAAAAAGTATAAATAAGTTATAAAAGTTTAAGTTTACAGTAAAGATAATGTAGTATACTATTTTTTATTTTATGTACAATAAATATTTTATAAAATATGCTGCACTCTAAAGTTGCAATAAAATCAAAGTCATATGTGTAACAAAGTTATGTTCCAAATTTTAAGTTGATATCACAAAAATTGTGGCTCCTGTGAGATTTTGTTTGGGCACTATACCAAAAATAACCACTGGGTGACACCCAAACACTACTGAATTTTTTTTTTGTGCAGTTTTCTGTCACAAATCAATAATATTCTGTCACAATATCACTTCTATTACAAAACAGTTATGAAATATGGAACCTTGGCTGTCAGACCTTTCCAACGATATGTGTTTTATCAAGATTACAATAAGATGTGATTTTCTAAAACACAAGCCACTTTATATATTTCTGTATATTTTAAAACTCAACACTGATATGGTTTAGTTTTTGTTTTGTAAGCTTTATAGGTATTTTTGTTCAGTGTTCACAGTTGTCAAAGCGAGTTCTGCAGACGCTTCTTTGGTAGGCAGAAGTCACAGCATTTTGAAGTGAAGTGACATGTGGCCAAGTATGGTGACCCATACTCGGAATTTGTGCTCTGCATTTAACCCATCCAAGTGCACACACACACACTGTGAAGACACACCCGGAGCAGTTGGCAGCCATATTGCTGCAATGCCCGGCGAGCAGTTGGGGGTTCGGTGTCTTGCTCAAGGGTCTCACCTCAGTCGTGGTATTGAGGGTGGAAGAGAGCGCTGGCTATTCACTCCCCCCACCGACAATTCCTGCCGGACCTGAGACTCGAACCCACAACCTTCGGGTTACAAGTGCGACTCTCTAACCATTAGGCCACGACTGTGGGTTGTTTCCAAAAGTAGTCATAGTGGGCCTCACTTTTTGGAGGCCATGGGCGAATGAATGAAAATTCAGAGTTACAGCAATACACATTTTCACATATTGCACCATACAGCTTCTTCCAGCTCATCACTGAAGACCCATTGTTGTTTGTGAATTTCTAAATTCAGAAGCTGCTTATAGTGAGAAAATGACAGAGAACATCTTTAGTTTAAGAGGCCTGAATAATGAGTTGAGTTGAGCTGATGGTTGTGGTTTGACTTCTGCTTGATTGTTTTTTTTTTCACCTGTGTTTGTGTGTATATATGTGTCCACTTTAAGTGTTCTATATACAACTGCAATTGTTGATGAGAGAATAACTCAAAAAGAGCCTGCATTAGATGTCACATTGTGATTCCACTTTATTATGATCTGTCCGTAATGTGTGTGGCTGTTGCATTGTGAACGAAGAAAATAACGCAGTTCGAGAACAATTACTGGAAGAACCTTGAAACAGTCTTTTTAGGAGAAAAATATCTAACAACTTGCATGCACTAAAAGAGTAAATATCTTAGAATGAATATCTTTTTCTTTCTATTTCTTCATGCATTTCTGTGTAGAGTTTTGTCTCCTCCTTCCTTGTCTCTTCTTGAAGTGTGAAATGACTGTTTAAACACAGGAAATGTCTGTTTTAGTGCACACAGCACTGTTAAAACAGTCTATTAATGTGTCGGTATGGGGTCCAGTGCACTGCTTCTCATACTCTGTGAGTATTTCATTATATTCTACACTATCTTCTGTTGTTTTTGTTCTGCTTTTAATACAATCTATTTAACTGAAGATAACAGATTTATTGTGCTGTGTGTAGGAGGGTATAGCAATCCACAGCCTCAGTGTTTATTGTATTCTTCATTGTTCAAGTTCAGTGATGATATGTTACTTGTGGATCAGATACAGAGTTTCAGAGAACATGCACTTATCTGTGCTGCATGTGTATGCAAGTGCCTTAATACAAAACGTCTGGGCAGCAGTGAATCCATCAGTGAATTGACTCTCACAGGACGTCATTGTGTGGCATTGATGTAGAATGAACTCTAGACATGATTCAGTGTGTAATTTGCATTGTGTTGAATCAATGGAAATGCTCCATATCTGTGTTTCTTCTGCTTTTAGTGCTGATGTCCTTCATCCACGCTGGACTCACTCAAGGTGAAACCTCTCAAGGTACTCTGTGCAATACAGGAGCAAATGTGATTTATACTATTAAACAAATGTGAATTCCCTTTCAAGGGAACTTCAAACTGCGTCCTCTAGGGGTCGCTATGGGGACGCCTCGTCGTGACCCGTGTCCAAACTTTTCCTAAAGGGGGCCGGATTCGATGATGTGGAAACACTGGGGGGCCGGATGCTTTCACCTATATATACAGTATATATATATATATATGATGTATGTATGTGTGATGTTGAGTTGACAGTAGCAGTAGCTTGTGTTTTGTTGAGGACAAAAATCTGCAAATATCTTGTTTTTAGTTTTTCCTATTTTCCGCGTTAGTGTTGTTGAGAATGTAAGTGCTGTTTCATCTGCCTTTGACATATGTGGTTTGTATGGAAACCTTATGCTTGGCGGACCATATATAATATAGACTACTAAGACAGCTGCGGGCCGCTTAACATTCATCCACGGGCTGCATTTGGCCCGCGGGCCGTAGTTTGGACACCCCTGGTTTAGAGGATGTGTGCATCCGTGTTGTCGTTGTTTAACATCTGATGACACACACACACGATCTATGCGTTTTTTGTTTGGGCAAAGAGCACGCACGCGATGTCTCCGAGGGGGCAATCGGCGTGCACTGCGAGCGTTTTTTCAAGGAAAAAGCTCCGCTCTCGTTTGTCTCTCTTTTCGAGGAAAGAGGGGCAGCCATCTCCATGGTTCCCTGAGTAGGGAACGAGACACTGCGTCCTCTAGGTTTCTTGCCATGCTGCGGACGCAAGCTTCAGACGAAGAAGTGAATGATGTGTGCTCCCGGCGCCTATTTATACTGTAGTCGCACCGGTAGTGACGTCATGGCTGTCGCCGGCCAACGTGTTGTTGGTGTTTTTTCAATGTATGCTTCAGGTGGCGACATGGGTATACCGTTCCCCATAGCGACCCCTAGAGGACGCAGTTCGAAGTTCCCTTGAAAGGGAACGTCTCAGGTTACTTATGTAACCATGGTTCCCTGAGTAGGGAACGAGACACTGCGTCCTCTAGGCTTCCTGCCATGCTTCGAACGCAAGCTTCAGACGAAGAAGTGAATGACATGTTCTCCCGGCGCCTATTTATACTAATAGTGGCACCGGTAGTGACGTCATGGGCTGTCACCGGCCAATGTGTTGTTGGTGTTTTTTCAATGTATGCTTCTCACACGGGTCACGACGAGGCATCCCCATAGCGACCCCTAGAGGACGCAGTGTCTCGTTCCCTACTCAGGGAACCATGGTTACATAAGTAACCTGAGACGTTTTGTTGTGGCTTTTGTCTATAATGGATAGCATCAGGATCCAACATGTGTCTTTACTGATGCTTTATGTTAATATTTTGATGTGATTCATCTTTACACAGAATCATCTGTGTAGGTCTTCATGCTGCTAAAATACTGCTGCTTCTGTAGTGAGTTTTGTTTGTTTGTTCCTGAGCATTTCTGCAGAGCCAGAGCCAGACAAGTCACATGATAAAGACCAGACAAACTCAGGGAGTTCATACGTAATTCACCAAGTCATGAGACTCATGCATTTTATTTTATTTTAATTGATTTAGTTTAGTTTTATTTTATTTTACTTTTAAAGTTACATTTAGGAAAACATGCATATGATGATTTAACGCAACAATTTTCATTGCAATTAATGACTGTGTGCCATTAAGATCTTCTGCATCAATTACGCTTAGTGTTATTCATTGATACGATTTTGGTTGGAAAGCTTGTTAGAGATAAAAGACTGAAAATAGAGATAAATAGAGAATAAGTTCTCAATTTCTCTGCAGTTCTTTTAAAACCTGCCAAATGAAAACTGTACCATCTACCGGTCAGAACAGGAACTGTTCAGCAACCATACATGTCAAAGTCAAAAGTCAAAAGTCAAAGTCAAAGTCAAAGTCAAAGTCTGCTTTATTGTCAATTCTGCCACAAGTACAGCACATCACATGTGATCTAAACCGGAGATGTGAGTGACCCAATGATCATGATAAAAAAAAAAATGGTGTATGGTTTTGCTGGTACAATGATAATACTGAAAGTTTACTTACAGTTTTTTACAATTGCTTAAGCACAATTTTAAAAACAAGGCTCATTTTGTCAAAACACAACACACAATTCACAGATCCACACACACAAGTAGCAGAACACCTCAGATCTTTTGCAAAATGAAACACTTCATTCAAAACTTTCCATTGATTTAACAAAACCCAGCTTTGACACCGTATGGAACACACATGGTTCATACATTCTGATTCTGTTTGATTCATTTACACACTGCTGTGCTCAATCTTAAAGGGGTCATATGATGCGATTTCAATTTTTCCTTTCTCTTTGGAGTGTTAGTACAAGAAGATCTGTAAAGTCGCAAAGACTAAAGTCTCAAATCCAAGGAGATATTCTTTATAAAAGTTAAGAGTCAACCACGCCTACCTAAAACGGCTCGTTCTAACACGCCCCCACATGTCTACGTCACGATGTGGGAAGATTTGCATAACGCCGGCCAAATGTTCACGCAAAGAAAGAAGGCGTTACTTTTATTCTCGCTGTAGTATTGTTGCTGCCGTCATGTCATGAAGACGCTGTGTGTTTCATTGTGAAAGCAAAACTATTTTGTTTGGCCTTCCAAAAGAGGATGATTTCCGCTTCGTCATGCTTAGAGCTGATCCATGCTGGTCGCTGAGGAAATACATCAACTTTGCGCTGTGGATCACCGGATCGGCTTTCCCCGTGGACGAAGCGGAGTCCAGCCCGGGGTCGTCACATGTGGTTGCCGCTCCTCAAATCTGCCGGCCACACCGCTCTCAAGCCTGCCGACGCCGCTCACTCAAGCCCGCCGTGTGTGACGCTGTTTCGTTTGTGAAAGTGAAACCACTTTGTTTGGCCTTGCAAAAGAGGACACGACTAGAAATCAATGGTTAAGTTGTATTTACAACACTGTTCCAGAACAGTTCAACCCAAATATTAGGATGTGACAACGCAACGCATAAAAAAAAACAGTATAAGTCATTATAATCCGTAATTATGTCCTCACTGGATGCAACAAATGCCTCGTTTATAATGGGTTGTATTGGTTTTGTCTCGTCACTCCGGCACAAGGCATCACAGTATGGTGAGGGGCGTAACATTTCTGTCACACACTTGAGGTATTCGGCCAATCACAACGCACTGGATAGCTGGCCAATCAGAGCACACCTAGCATTTTAGAACGATGAGTTTTGTAAAAATTGACGCGTTTCAGAAAGGCGGGGCATAGAGGAGAAACAATAATGTACTGTATGTGGAAAATAATGTGTTTTTTGAACCTTAAACCGCATTAACACATTTCATTACACTAAATACACTAAATAAATGTTCTTTTTAGCAACATCACATGACCCCTTTAAACAATTGTAACTTTTATAATGATACAGTCCGGGTTTTAATTTTTTTTCATAGATGTTGTTTTTATAGTAAAGCACACACACACACACACACACACACACACACACGCACGCACACACACACACTAAAACCATTCAATACATCCATGCTTTTCCAAAGGTTGCATTTTGCACTGAATATCAGAACATATTCTAAATACAATATAGTACACAAACAAAAAATTTAGACAAAAACAAAAGCATGAGTTTAAAGTAAAAATAAAATAAAATAAAAATAAAAATTAAAAAATAGAAAAAACAACCTAAGCATCATCTCTTCACCTAGCTGGATCTGGCCATAGCACTTCATCCACAATTAGGTCACAGGCCTCCTCCATGGCTTGCATGAGAGGTATCGTGACATAGGGCTGGAGATCGTAAACCTTCCACCACCATGCCGAAAAAAAAAACTCTTCAATGGAGTTGAGGAAGGGAGATTATGGTGGGAGGTATTGGAATGAAAATTGTGGATGATCATGAAACCAGTTTTGGACCAGAGCAGATCGGTGGAAAGATACATGGTCCCAGATGACAATGTATCTCATCTGTGTAAAAAGGTTCCGTGTGCAGTACAATACTGAAGTGTACATTACTTACCTCCACATATTCATGCCGTAGGCCTTTTACTCTTTCAGAATTTCTTTCAAATGGCACTCGGTAGAGTTGTTTCACCTGAAGGTTTTTTAGGATTCGCCCCAGTGTTGATAGAGAGACCTGATGGACATTATTGAAAACTGTGTGGTCATTCAGGATGTTTGTCTGAATTTCTCTGAGACGTATCGGATTATTGGCCAAAACCATGGTTATGATAGCTCTCTATTGTTCCTCTGTGAATATGGGGCCCCTTCCTCCTCTACGTTCTTGACCCTCAATCCTATGTAGATCAATCAAAATACATGTTACAGTAAATGTCACAAGACAGCACACAAGACATAGTCTCCAACATGGAACACAGTGAATGGTACCAAATAGTACTGATGGAGGTCATATAGTAGGCTATATTGTACTGTAGACAGCAGAGAAAAGTAGTTTTTTACCTGTGCTCTTGTCGAAATGTCCGAATTACTGTAGCAACAGTATATCTGCTGAGGTTGGGCTGAACTCTCTGTCCAGCCTCTCTCAATGTCAACCCATGGTTTACAACATGGTCAACCAAGGTTGCTCGAATAGCATCTGATAAATTTGGTCCCCGTCTTCTTTGTCCCCGTCCTCCAGGTCTACCTCTTCCTCTCTCTACCCCCCTTCCTCTATGGGCTGTCCCTCTCATCCTAACTCTTCCTCTTCCTCTTACTGCGACATTGCCTTCCATTTTTGCTGAAGACAGGTAAACTCACCTGTTGCCTTTTTATAGTGCTTACAGCTGATCGTTGAGTTTACAGTTAAGCACCTAAGTGTCTGCACACCTGACGGCCATGTTTAATCAATTGGTTTATAGGGGTGGTATTTTGGAAAGCAGTGTCTTGAAATGGCAAAGAAGTGACATCGCACACACACACACTAAAACCATTCAATACATCCATGCTTTTCCAAAGGTTGCATTTTGCACTGAATATCA